CGCTCCATTCCTCTACATGTCCTGAACCACCTCAACAACCCTTCCCAGCCCTCTGGACAACAGTTTGTAATCACCCCACCTCATCCCTAACTTCCAAACTATAACGAATTCTCTGCATTATATTCACACCACACATTGCCGCACAGACATGGACATCTCCACTTGCCTCCAGCCTTCACCTCGCGCTGCAACATTCCTCACACCAGCTTCACACACCCATATAATAGCGTGGTAAAACTATACTCTCATACATTCCCCTCTTTGCTCCAAGGCACAAAGTTCTTTGTCCTCCACAGACTCCTAAGTGCAACCACTCACCCTTTTCCCTTATCAATTCTATGATTCCACCTCTTCCTTCATAGACCCATCCGCTGACACGTCCACTTCCCCAAATATCTGAATACATTTATATATATATTTATATATATATTTATATTAATTAAGTATATATTTATATATAATCTTTATATATATATATATATATATATATATATATATATATAAATTATATATATATAAGTATATATATATATATATATATTATATATATATATATATATATATATATACATATATATATATATAGGGGTAACATTATATTATAGGTATAAGGAGTATATATATATATATATATATATATATATAAAATATATATATATATTATATATATATAATATGCAAAAAAGCCACAAGGGAGTAAATGATATATCTGTCATTCAACTTCTTTTTATATATATATCTATATATATATAATATAAATATATATATATATATATAATATATCTAATATATATATATATATATTATATCATATATATATATATATATATATATATAGTAGGTGGTAGACAGCACCACCCAGGGAAGTACTACCGTCCCAGCCAGATGACTGTGAAACAGAAACCTGTAAACTGTTTTGCAATAATGGTAGGATTCTGGTTTCTTTTTTCGTCTCATAACCACGCTAGATAACATGGATATCTTGCTACTCCAACTTACACTTTGATCACACTTCACAACCACGCACATGCATATTAATAAATACATACATCTAGGTTTTCCTCCTATTTCTCTAAATAGCTTTTTGTTCCTCTTTTATTTCTCAATTGTCCAGGGGAAGTGGAAAAGAATCTTTTCCATCCGTAAGCCATGCGTGTCGTATGAGGCCGACTAAAATGGCCGGGGACAATGGGCTAGTAACCCCTTCTCCTGTAGACATTTTACTAAAAAAGAAGAAGAAAAAAACTTTATAAAACTGGGATGCTTAAATGTGCGTGGATGTAGTGCGGATGACAAGAAACAGATGATTGCTGATGTTATGAATAAAGATAGTTGGGATGTCCCTGGCCCTAAGCAAAACAAAGCTGAAAGGGGTAGGGAGTTTCGGTGGGGGGAAAATTAAATGGGATTAAATCTGGAGTATCTGATAGAGTTAAGCAAAGGAAGGGGTAGCAGTATTGTTTGAATGATCAGTTATGGAAGGAGAAAAGAGAATATGAAAAGTGTAAATTCAAGAAATATGTGGATTAAAGTAAAGTTGGATGCGAGAAGTGGTCTAATAAGCGTGTAGCACCAGAGAAGAGAGGAATGCAGAGATAGAGAGAGATTTTTTGGGAGATGTTAAGTGAATGTCTAGGAGCCTTTGAACAAGTGGAGAGAGTAATTGTGGTAGGGGATCTGAATGCTAAATAGGAGAAACTTTTAGAGAGGGTGTTGGTAGGTTAAGTATGGGGTTCCAGGTGTAAATGAAAATGGGAGCCCTTGATTGAACATTTGTATAGAAAGGGGTTTAGTTATAGGTAATACATATTTTAAGAAAAAGAGGATAAATAAGTATACACGATAGATGTAAGGGCGAAATGACAGTATTTTGTTGGATTATGTAATGGTAGAGAAAAAGACTGTTGAGTAGACTTCAGGATGTACATGTTTATAAGGGGGGCCACAATATATCAATCCTTTCTAGTTGTAGCTACACTGAGAGTAAAAGGTAGATGGGATACAAGGAGAATAGAAGCATCAGGGAAAGAGAAGGTGAAGGTTATAAACTAAAGAGGAGGCCAGTTAGGGTAAGATATAACAACTAATTGGAGGAATAGATGGGCTAATGAGAGAATAGGCAATGGGTTCGAAGAGGTAAGGGTAAGGTTAAAAAATGTAGTGTTAGCGTGTTCAGCAGAATTTTTGTGGTTTACAGGAAAGTGGGTGCCAGAGGGAAGAGGAGCCGATTGTGGAATGAATGATGTAAAAGAGAGTAGTAAGGGAGAAAAAGTTAGCATATGAGAAGTTTTTTATCAAAGTAGAAGTGATGCAAGGATGGAAGGGTATATGGAGAAAAAGAGAGAGTTTAAGAGAATTGTGAAACAATGTAAAAAGAGAGCAAATGAGAGAGTGGGTGAGATGTTATCAACAAATTTTGTTGAAATAAGAAAAAGTTTTGGAGTGAGATTAACAAGTTAAGAAAGCCTAGAGAACAAATGGATTGTCAGTTAAAAATAGGAGAGGAGAGTTGTTAAATGGAGAGTTAGAGGTATTGGGAAGATGGAGGGAATATTTGAGGAATTGTTAAATGTTTGATGAAGATAGGGAAGCTGTGATTTCGTGTATAGGGCAAGGAGGAACAACATCTTGTAGGAGTGAGGAAGAGCCAGTTGTGAGTGTGGGGGAAGTTCGTGAGGCAATAGGTAAAATGAAAGGGGTAAGGCAGCCGGGAATGATGGGATAAAGATAGAAATGTTTAAAAGCAGGTGGGGATATAGTTTTGGAGTGGTTGGTGCAATTATTTAATAAATGTATGGAAGAGGGTAAGGTACCTAGGGATTGGCAGAGAGCATGCATAGTTCCTTTGTATAAGGCAAAGGGGATAAAAGAGAGTGCAAAAATTATAGGGGATAAGTCTGTTGAGTATACCTGGCAAAGTGTATGGTAGAGTTATTATTGAAAGAATTAAGAGTAAGACGGAAAATAGGATAGCAGATGAACAAGGAGGCTTTAGGAAAGGTAGGGGGTGTGTGGACCAGTGTTTACAGTGAAACATATAAGTGAACAGTATTTAGATAAGGCTAAAGAGGTCTTTGTGGCATTTATGGATTTGGAAAAGGTGTATGACAGGGTGGATAGGGGGGCAATGTGGCAGATGTTGCAGGTGTATGGTGTAGGAGGTAGGTTACTGAAAGCAGTGAAGAGTTTTTACGAGGATAGTGAGGCTCAAGTTAGAGTATGTAGGAAAGAGGGAAATTATTTCCCAGTAAAAGTAGGCCTTAGACAAGGATGTGTGATGTCACCGTGTTTGTTTAATATATTTATAGATGGGGTTGTAAGAGAAGTAAATGCGAGGGTCTTGGCAAGAGGCGTGGAGTTAAAAGATAAAGAATCACACATAAAGTGGGAGTTGTCACAGTTGCTCTTTGCTGATGACACTGTGCTCTTGGGAGATTCTGAAGTTAAGTTGCAGAGATTGGTGGATGAATTTGGTAGGGTGTGCAAAAGAAGAAAATTGAAAGTGAATACAGGAAAGAGTAAGGTTATGAGGATAACAAAAAGATTAGGTGATGAAAGATTGGATATCAGATTGGAGGGAGAGAGTGTGGAGGAGGTGAATGTATTCAGATATTTGGGAGTGGACGTGTCAGCGGATGGGTCTATGAAAGATGAGGTGAATCATAGAAGTGATGAAGGGAAAAGGGTGAGTGGTGCACTTAGGAGTCTGTGGAGACAAAGAACTTTGTCCTTGGAGGCAAAGAGGGGAATGTATGAGAGTATAGTTTTACCAACGCTCTTATATGGGTGTGAAGCATGGGTGATGAATGTTGCAGCGAGGAGAAGGCTGGAGGCAGTGGAGATGTCATGTCTGAGAGCAATGTGTGGTGTGAATATAATGCAGGGAATTCGTAGTTTGGAAGTTAGGAGGAGGTGCGGGATTACCAAAACTGTTGTCCAGAGGGCTGAGGAAGGGTTGTTGAGGGGGTTCGGACATGGGGAGAGAATGGAGCGAAACAGAATAACTTCAAGAGTGTATCAGTCTGTAGTGGAAGGAAGGCGGGGTAGGGGTCGGCCTAGGAAAGGTTGGAGGAGGGGGTAAAGGAGGTTTTGTGTGCGAGGGGCTTGGACTTCCAGCAGGCATGCGTGAGCGTGTTTGATAGGAGTGAATGGAGACAAATGGTTTTTAATACTTGACGTGCTGTTGGAATGTGAGCAAAGTAACATTTATGAAGGGGTTCAGGAAACCGGCAGGCCGGACTTGAGTCCTGGAGATGGGAAGTACAGTGCCTGCACTCTGAAGGAGGGGTGTTAATGTTGCAGTTTAAAAACTGTAGTGTAAAGCACCCTTCTGGCAAGACAGTGATGGAGTGAATGCTGGTGAAAGTTTTTCTTTTTCGGGCCACCCTGCCTTGGTGGGAATCGGCCAGTGTGTAAAAAAATAAAAAAAATAAATTTTATATATATATATATATATATATAAAAATATATATATATATATATATATATATATATATATATATATATATATATATACAAGCATAAATATGTACACACATATATAGACACATGAATATGTATGCACATGCATACACTTGCAAAAATATATATACTTGCATGCATCTGTATACTACTAATACTTCAACTACTAATCGCTCCTCACATTCTACCTGTATGGTAAAAGCCAGACTGAGACATCGTCTCAAGTTTCTGTGTCCTAAATGCAGGTAATTTGTGCACTGTGCACAAATGTACATTCGCACACACACACACACACACACACACACACACACACACACACACACACACACACACACACACACACACACACACACACACACACAGATGCATATTTTATATTTAGCTGCATTAAAATTGCATAACCACTATTTTTTGCCCTCACCGATGAAGAGGAGGCTGGGGTTATGGAATATGGTAGGTCAGTATGACAGTAAAGTATCACCAACATCCCTTAACTACCACCATCGTAACTACCAGTACCACAACTACCACTTCCCCAGGTCCTGAGGTCGCTCCCAGACAAACTCAAGGCGGAGATAGCCATCCACGTCCACTTAGACACACTGAAGCAAGTGCGCATCTTCCAGGACTGTGAACCTGGTCTTTTAGTCGAGCTGGTACTCAAACTTAAGTTGCAGGTAAGTGGCCCTTGATCCTTCGACCAAAATTAATTATTTTCTATGACCCATACGAGTTTGGTAATAATAATAATAATAATAATAATAATAATAATAATAATAATAATAATAATAATAATAATAATAATATAAGTGACTGGTAATTTAAACTGGTCAAAAGCACTGAATGAACACAAAGGATCGAAAATCTCGAAAAGTCGAAAATCTGAGAAATACTCATATCAGATTTCTTCAGCGTTTACATATTCTATTCTATTCTATTCTATTTGATTCGCCGGTAATCCCGGCCCGGGTCTCTTCCATTTTGGTGACCCGGCATTGGCTCCCCAGGTAGGGAAGTGACATTTATCGTTACTTGCACCTGTGTGGCAGGTCTTCAGCAGGAAGGAAGGGGGGGTACCTCACCGGCCCTATGGCCAGATGACGTACCAAACGTTAGTGTGCACTAACAGTGGCTGGTGTGCAGTGCAATGGAGGCCCAAAGCAGGCCCTCGCAGCAACTTCAGCGGGGGGGCGGATGACGTGCAAGGACTGGAAGTAAGGTTTCCAAGTCCCTGACAGCTAAGTACACAAGATGTGCTGCCTCATCCTCTCGGGTCTGCCCTACTGGGGTCATTGGGAAGTGTCTACGGCAAAGGGGCATCGTAGCCGGGCGTCTAACGGTAGTGCCCAAAGGGCTGGGGAACCTTCGTCACAATGGCCACAGAGCCCCCTTTTGCCCGTTCAAAAATCCCCAGGGGTGGGATACCCTAAGGTAGGCGGTGGATATGACCCTGTTCCGGGGACGTGTCCAATACTTGGAGGGGGGCCCCTGTGGGGGCCCTGACTACCAACGAGGCTCCGTGATCCCCAGGGTCGGGAATGGGGCATCGCCGCTCCAGCACCCAACAGCGCAATCTGGTGAGGTAATGGAGTCGTAGCACGGGCTGTCCCTCGGGGGTTGCAGTCCTAGCAGCCCATCTGCAGCATCTTTTCCCAGGGATCCCCCCCCACATGGCTCGGGACCCAGTTGAGGGTACCCTGCGCCCCGGGCCAGAAGTTGAGGTCCCCCCGGATGGATTTTTTAATGAGTTGCCCTTTTGGGCTCTCTGTCATAAGCTCTTGGATCGCTGCCTTGAAAAACGGGGATGAGGGGGGGATGTGTGGCTGAAAGGCATGCCGCAGAGCTTGTTGGATGGCAAAGAGTTCGGCCTGGAGGAGGGTTTGCAATGGTCTAGGAGGCGCCAACCTGCTGTAGATTGCTGGAACATCCCAGCACTGGCGGCTGCCACGGGGGTCTCTGGAGCCATCAGTGAAAATATGGCCACCCCCGGGCCTTCCCGCACCCACAATGTAGCCCAGAAAGGGTGGGCAAAATGCCGGGGGTTTTGCAATGCCTCTTGCTGTGGAGGGTTGTCCAGTCACCGCAAACAGCTCGGTGCCCAAGGGGTGGCACCGTGGTTGCAGCCAGTCGTCGCACCCTCCCGCCGGAGCAATGTCATGGGCAAGAGCTTCTGTGTGGCATTCTACCGACCACATCATCGGCGGCCGATGCAGTGGAAGCCCTGCCCCGGGCAGACCCTAAACTCCATCATTTGTCAGCCCTGGGAGTCGGGATACTTTGAAAACCTCCGGGCAGCTCCCAGTTGGGATCCTGTCTTCAAGAGGCTGTAGCTGCCCCTAAGGTTCAGAGCCCTGCATTGGCCACCTAGGACCCCCCAGCAGGGCCCCGTCAGCTTGTTTGGAGAAACAGGGGATTTGATGTTTGGGGTCGGGCGTGAACCGGAAAAGGCCCCAAGTCAACGGGGGAAGTATTCCCTGGTGTGAAAAACCCTCATGCCCTCGGGGTTGGCCCCAACCCTAGGGTTGGCCAGGTCAATGCCCTGACCCCTGCAGAGCCCTCTTTTAATGGGGTGCACTGTTTCTGGAAGGTGAGGTGCCTGTCAAGTAGATCCCCAAGGTATAACTTAACCCCTCCGGGCCCATGCCCGGGGCCCCGCGCCTTGACGGGGACCTTGGTTCGAAGATCATGGCTTTGGATTTGCCGCAGATATTTTGAGCCCAAGTGAGGGCAGGTAGAAGCCAGCAGTCGAGGTCCCCCTGGGCATGCTGCAAAAGCCGGCGTTTCCCTTGGGTACGAGAAGTCCCAGGCATGGGCATGCTGAGGAGGATGGTGCTCGGGAGAAGGCGGCACACCAGCGGTGATCAGTACATTGAACGGGGGTGGGACTAAGCACCCCGCCCTGTGGGTCCGTTGTCCGGGTTTGAGAGAAGACGGGCCCACCTGTTCTGGAAAAGGGAACGAACCCCTAAAAGCACCCTGCCTTTAATCCCCGGGGGCCAAAGAGGAGGAATGGCAGGTGCACGGGCTAGCTAAAATTTTTTCTCGAGGTAAAGAAAGAAAAAAAATGTGGGTTTGGGCGTCCGACCCAAATTCCCCGGTCAGTAAAGGGGAAAGGCTTTCGAAAGTGCCCACCCTCTGGTGAACCCAAAGGGGGTGTTTTTGGGAGGGCCCAAACTTCCACCCACACCCAAACCCCACCTTTAGACACCTTCGAGATGAATGGTGAGGGAGATGGGTCCACCCTCCCAGGACCCCCAGCTTAGGAATCTTTTAGATGTCAGCCTCCTTCCCATACGCAGGGAGTTTGCCAGCCGAAAAGTCGGTTTGATGCCCCCCAGGACGCGGAAGTCCAAAGGGCCCAAACCCGAGGATCAGCCATGGGTGTTTCCATCATTCCCCGGTGCTTTGTCCGTGAGATTGAAGGCTGCGGGAGCCCTGGTGGGTGAAGTCTTCTCCGTACGCCCTTAGCCGGGCATCTGTTTGGGGATCACATCACCCTTCTAGGAAGGAGGGTGCTTGGGGTCCGGAGAACCTGAGCGGACCCCAGGGCCCGCTCGGAGTAAAATAGGTCCCCAGACGCTCTGCCCCCATTGCGGGGTCGGGTGCAACCGACCCAACTGCGCTGCCCAGGGGCCCAATCGTAATTGGTCCAAATCCAGATGGGTGGAGGAGTGTGAAGGAGGACACCACTCGAACCATTTAGCCTCCGGACCCTGGTGAACATGGCGTGCATGCCGCACCACTTCCCTGAGCGATCTGGACTCAACCGTGGGTTACCTGTCATCTTGCGTACAAATTGATGCGGTGGTTCTTTTCCCCGGATGTCCTCATTGTAAAACCCCCATCACTTTATATGACCCTCTGCGAATCTTGGGTTTGCTGCCTAGCTCACATTGAAGGCCCCTGAAGCTTTGAGCCGCCTATCTGGGTCTTCGGAAGAGGAGCCCTCCGCCCACCAGGCTAAATGACCTCCGGGAAAAGCACTGCCAGTCGGCCTTTTTTGATTCCATCGGGGGGGTTAGGTTGGGGGCGGGCACCCTGGACCATCAGCGTAGTGACCACTGAAAGTGACATGGGAGGGGGGGGGTGGACCCCCCACCGCGTAAAGAGCAACGCCTGAGATGATTTGTGAATCCAATGGCCCACCAAGTGAGGGTTGGCTCACCATTATTTTAGGAGGGGGATCTCAGGACCCTCCCGCAAGCCCCAAGGTGCCTCCCAGCTGCGTTGGTAGGAGAACAGAAGAAAGTATTGGGTGGTGGGCATTCATCCCGCCACAACAAACCCTCCCGTGGGGCGAGTGCTGCCACTCTGAAATGCAAGGGTTTTTACAAAAGTTCTGTAAATATTTTAAACAGAGAGGTCCATCCGCCGGTGTGGGTGACAGCCTAACCTCTCCCCTCCCCCCAGTCGAGGGTCAGTGGAGATTGAATGAGGGGTAGTGGTCCTGACGTAGATCGCCCTGCCCCGCCGTCCCTTCCCGGCGTGAAGGTAGGGAGAAATCCCGGAATACTTGGGGTGCATTTGACGTGCAAATTGTAGTGTCTCCTGAAAAAAGAGACACAACCCATCCTGAACTCAAATTAATCACTAAGTGAATTTTCCGCTGCAGCCCACAAGTTCCACGGAGGATCTCAAGGGGCCCCAAGGTGGCTCCCTGCTTCCATCTCTGCTGGGACTCGTCCCTTGTTGGCGACTCCCGGGGCCTCCCCCATCACAGATGGAAAGGACTCCTGGATGATGGCTAAGTTCCATTGATCTTTCCCGTCCATAGGACCCCGCCCCGCATCCATGACAGGAGCTGCCGCAGGCTCCCTTGTCCTCTCCACGGCGCAGGCGACAGAGGACGCTGAGATGACCCCATGGTTTTTTTTCGTCATCCGGGAAAAGGGTTCACCAATTTCCTCGCAGGCATGAGCTGGAGACCCCCTCGAGTCGGGGGTGGGGCCCGGGTATGTCTGGGTGGGTGTCGACACTGCCAGCATAAACTGGGGGCACCTGGGCCGGGATGAGTGGCCCTGGGGTTCGAAGTCTCCTGGCGGGGAACCTTGCTGACTCTGGCCCCTCACATAGGGGCCCGCCCCTTGGAAAGAGGCCTGCTGGCGGTATGGCAAGGGAAAGTTGGTGCCCAGCTGGGGCGTGGGTGGGCAGTGTGCCTGGCCCGTGCTGTTTTTTCCCCAAAGTTTGTCTTCTTGGGCCCCCTTGCCATTCCCTGCGTTGACTGCGCTCGCAAACCGTGTCGTCCCCTATGCCACCCCCGGGAGCCCAGTGATGGGGGAAATCGCTGGGATTGCCCTCTGCGGTATTGGGGAAACCGTGATTGGAGCCCATGTGATGTTGTGGGGAGTTCCAGGGTGGGGGCGTCGGGGCTGTGGGTTTCGTTCCGATGACGAACCTGCTGCCAGTGCTGCCCACACGGACAGCTCCGGTTCCAGGCTGTGCCCTTTTAGCATTGGGACACTTGGGCTCTGCCCAAGGGGTTTGCCAGTTTGGGTGTTTAGGGTTTCAATGCAGTCCTTTGTTCTGTGCCTTGCTGCACCACCACACTTCTTCTCTCGCTGGCAGGTGGGTGCAATATGATTAACCCCCGGAGTTTTAAGCATTTACTGGGCCTACAGGTCCTAGAGGGGCTAGTACCGAAATTGCACACGAAAATCATCACTACGAAAACAAAAAG